GTATCAGCAGGACATCCTTTGTTTTATGCAGACTCACTTTAAGATCTGGTGAGGACTGAACATGGACTTTTATAATTGTTGGTGCTAATGCATATTCATGCTATTAATTTTAGTACAACCATATGAATACATTGTTTTTACGTGTGTTTTATTTCAGAACGTAGTTATTTATTATTATTGCTAGTGGGATGGGACTAAATCCCTTGTACTGCGGCCAATTCTGGGCTATTGTACCAGCCCCAGATGATAGGTGAGGGTGATTATGGAGCAATTGGTGGAATGAAGATTGGCATGAGAAACCCAAGTACTTGGAGAAAACCTGCCCAGCACCACTTTGTCCACCACGAATCCCACTTGACCAGACCTGGGATCGAACCTGGGCCGCCGCGGTGGGAAGCCAGAGACTAACCACTTGAGCTATGGCGCAGCCCTCAGAATGTAGTTGCTTGGGGGAAAATCTTTTCCAGAGTAGAACTAATAAAATAGATATTCTGGGAATGTAATTTTTGAAAAGGGGGATTGTCTTATATTTGGGTAAATGTGGTAGATTGTCATGCTGTAACAGAGAAGGACGTTCTGTACTGACTCTGTGATCTAAGTTGTTTAACATGAAGGAAATCATTGAGAAATGTATATTTACATATTCTTGGAGACTTACCAATTCTCTCATCCTATGCCTATACCTCACTGTTACGATTTACCATTGGTTTAACTTTCATTTCTGTATAATTTCAAATTTTCTCAAAGTTATTTTAATTGTCCATCTCTACATTATCATACCTACTGGATGAAAAACTACAAGTTCTTGAACATAAGGTATGTAGAAGTGTTTTATAGGATATGTACATGAAACTGACTTTTTGATAACAGTGAGGAATGTTTATCATTTTATTTTTTGCTCTGGTCATGCATACGTATTAGAATAACTGCCTCCATGGAGCAAGAATATTCTTGGTGGGTAGAGGGCGGGCAGCACATAGGGCTGACAACCTTGTTGCCATCTGTGAGCCAATTGTCTAGAAAATGTGGGAACCTCAACATCTCACAACCCTATGGGCCTCCACGGCCTGTTACAGGGATACCTTTACTTTTTTTACTTTTACTTCCATGGAGCTGAATTCTTCAAGAGCCAAAAGTTGCTCATCCAATCCCAGCATTTTATGGTACCTGAAAGGTCACTACTGTGTTTACAAGAGCCTGTCACTGACCCCTATTCCAAGCCAGATGAATGCATTCCACACTGGTCAGTTTCGTTTAAGGTTTATTATTATATTGCCCAACAGGGATAGCACAGAAGTTATGGCGACTGGCTATGGGATGGACACCTGAGGAGTTGGGGGGGTCTGAGCCCAATAGGGTCAATAATTTTCTCTTCTTGACAGTGTCCAGAGTGGCCCTGGGGCCCACCCAGCCTCCTGTCCAATGGCAATGGATACAGTGGACTCTTTCCCTGGGGTAAAGCGGCCGGAGTGTGAAGATGACCCCCCCCCCAATTAGTGCCAAGGGCAAGAAAACGTGGATCTATATATCCACTCCCCCATATGTCTTCATGGCATAGTGCTTAATAAGTTAAGCACAGGGGCAACTTTACTTACATGAATAAATGCTACTCTGTGTTGTTTCCTGCCTAATAGACTACAAAGCATCACATCTCAGAAGACCACTCTTAGCATTCACTCCATAAGAACCTCAGATCTTACATATGATGTCCATGTAAGGCACGATTGGTGAACAGGATTATGAGAACAGTTTTACAGGTGTGCTGTAGTTGGAAATGCAGTTTCTTTTATGTATTTTGAAGCCATATTCTGTAGTATTACTATCTGAAATGATATATTAACCAATGTTCTTCATGACACCAGATGCTTTGATACTAATTCAGGATGTCATGACTTAGCCCCACAGCTGAAGAAGTTTTCAGTGGTTGCATTGTATGCTTAGCTGTGAATAATGTTCCATTCAATATTGATACCATTTTCATATCAGGAAAGATCTGCTTTATTTCTTGGCTAGGGTGCCATTTGTCATTTCCGTTCTTCATACAGAGTCATTCATTTAATCCAACATAAAGTGTCCACCATAGATGATATAGTATTGTTAAATAAACCAACGACCCTATTAATGTTCAGAAAATCTCAGCAACATATCCAGCCTCCTATGCAGTGCGAACCAGGGGACTCATTCCCTGTAGGTAAAGAGGGTGGGGCATGAAGTAGACAACTTACCTCATCTGCTGTCAATGTTAAGAACACATGGAGCTGTACTCCACTCCCCATGTGTTCATGCTGTTGTTTGTAATTAAGCACAGAGGCACACTTTAACCTTTCACATTATTTACCTTACTAGTGAAGTAATATTTTTTAAATAATCTGTTATTTCTTTCAATAGTTCGTGGGAACTTCACCCTTCGAAGCCTTCATGTTCAGTTTTTTGGGGATAATGGTAGGCGTAGTTGGCTCTACTCCAATTGTGTCATTCAGTTTGAGGGTCTTGAAGCATTTAATAAATCAGCAGTGAAGATCCACAGTCAGGTAAGACGCCATCATTAGTGAATTCTAATTTCTTAACTGTTCATGTCTCTAATCACATATGCAGTTTTGTGAAAATTGTTTTACCAAGAGCACATAAATGCATAGAGATTATGGTACTCATCTTAGTGCTTCATCAAGTTGCAGTTTTCATTCTACTATGGATGACCACTTACCAAAATTCCTTTGTTTGCCATGGCTATTTACAGAGAGAGAGAGAATGAAGAAAGAGACAACAATGAGATGTATATCAGTGGCACTTTAAAGTGATTTGCAACATGCTGTATCATCTTATCCCATTGCATGTTCATATTTTATTATTTTGATGCTTTTTTTTTTGCTGGCCTTCTGCCACTGAACATAGGTTGCCTTTTTTTTTTTCCTATTGGGAAGGTAATTACCTCCCTGTTTGGTGACCAGTATGTAATAATTAAGTCATTTTCAGACTTGGATGCAGCTTGGATAGTGGATATTTTCAGATTTTTGTGTTATTTTTTTATTTTTAATTATGTGATACTTTTCCTATCATCATGGCTAATTGAGAGCTCACTGTATATTCGCATAAGAAAGTGATGATATGCGGCAAGGAATTTTCCTGTCTTTTCTAGATGAAGAAACGAGATCGTAAATTTGCTGCTGCATTCCATGTTCCACCAAAAGCAAAAGCCAAATGGGATATAGCTGTAAGAGAAGCAGAAGAAGCCATGGGTAGAACAAGGTATGTCACAAGGAAATGTTGTATTTCCACTTATCATATGTTACAAGTTTCATGCTCAGGAAATCATGTAGTGTATACAAATATTGCATGCAATATTATGTCCACCAAAGCCACTCAGAATTTACTTGTTTCATGTGCAGAACTGAACGATTGCAAGATTTTGCAAGGCTGTTCACAAAAGATGTTTCAGTCAAAAGTGCTGAGACCCACAGTCCTCCACGCACCAAGCAACAGAAACGTGTGGATGATAAGAACAGCAGCTTCTCTTCAAAAATGGTTAGTACTGCAAAATTCTACTTTTATACAAGAAAATGCTGTTATAACAGCTCACACAACATCAAGAAACTGCTAATTGAGTGTGATACAACTGTCTGGTAGTAGGACCTAAATATTGAACATCTGTAATATCAAAGCTTGTCATTAGACATGATCCTGATTCAATTCCATTCTTTTTCTAGCCTCCTGACTTAGTCCCCTAAGGTATAATCAGTTCTTATAGCAGAACTGGAAAATTCAACACCTCTAGTATCAGAATCCAACAGGATCTTGTCCGCTGATGGACATAAATACTAGAGGTGGTGACCCTTTGGTTTCTACTAGCAAAGAGTTATTTGAACCTTAGGGACCTCAGTCCCTCATGTAGCTATATAGTGCATCAGATATCTCCAACAAGCATTTTTTTTTCGTTGGTGCTACAGCCCTCATTTGGGCCTAGGCCTACCTCCATGAAACTCTCCGTTTCACTTCGGTTTACAAGATCTTACACATACGGTAGGACTCCTTAGGCAAGTGATCAGCTCGTCGCAAGGCCTCTACCTGTAGACAAACACAGAAAAACGCACACAAACATCTATGCCCTGAGTGGGATTCGAACCCACGATCCTGGCTTCCGAGCGAGCGAGCGAAGACAGTGCATCCCTTAGACCACTCGGCTACCATGACCAGCCCAACAAGCATTATACTACACTCAAATTAACTGTATATGAGTAACGTTATGTGTGGAATGCTTGTGTAACTTGCAGTGTTTTGATTTGTCACTGAAAGGATTACAGCTTGCACTTGTAGGGTTAAAATAGGCTGCATTTGCTTCTTTCCACATCCTTCATGTTCACCATGTACCAACATACATAGTTGACATAAACTTCATGGCCTGTAGTCTGCAAGCCAACTATACCGACTGAGTGACCACCGCTTGTCGGCGAAGTTAGTGCCAACTTTTGTGGATAGAGGGTGTCACGTGATCAGCACAGTGGAGCCCCAAGGCTGTTAATCTCGCTTTTCTAGGCCAGAACATAGTTGACATAACAAAAACGAAAACTCCATGGGCTGTAGTCCAAAAGCGAACTATACCGACCAAGTGACTGCTGCTTGTTGGTGAAGTTAGTGCCAACTTTTGTGGATAGAGGGTGTCATGTGGTCAGCGCAGTGGATCCCCATCGCCGTTGATCTTGGTTTTCTAGACCAGACTAAAATATAAACCAACAAAAAAAAAACATGTTTCATATATTGTAACATAATGGAATTGTTACTTGTACATGTGCTGTTGTTTTGTTACGTGTGTTTCATATTTGCAGGGAAATGTAGAAGAAGCCCCGCAGTCTCCAAGTCCTCACCTGTTTACTGAAACAAGTTATAAAGTTAATACTTCGACAGTAACTCCTGTCATTAAATTGAAGATCAGTAGTGTCCAGGTGAAGAAGAAGAAACAGCAACGCAAGAAGCACAGTTTAGGTGGTCAGAGTTTTGATCCAGACTTTGAAGCATTTTTGCACAAGCACATTGATCACGTGGCAGAGGAACGTCCAGATCTGAGTATTAAAACAGTGGAGAAATACCTTGCGAAAGAATGGAACAAAATGGATGAGCTTCAAAAGTCAAAGTAAGATATTAATGGTAATGCTTGTCCTGTAGATTTGTTCTCTTTTTGGAGGTGGTGAGTTTGGTTCTTGGCCCAGAGACCTCTTATCCTGTTTGTTCATTTGGCATGATACCAAAAGAAAAACAAACTCCGTGGTGTTAGTCCGCAAGCGAACTCTACCAACTGAGCCACCGCTGCTTGTTGGCGAAGTTAGTGCCAACTTTAGCGGATAGAGGGTGTCACAGCTGATATGGTACCTTATTGTTTGTATATGAAGGGATCCCCAGCTTTGTGTTGTAGTGGTCACATTGCAGTTCTGTTGAGACGCAATATACTGTCACTTGTAGAGGGTATGCATGACAAAAAACAGGTTCTAGTTGAGGTGATTGGATTTATTAGCACCGTAGTTACAAGTTCTTTTAATCATACTTAAATACAGTGCTATCACTGATTTACACACTTTCCAGTCAACCGTTGCACACACACTAATATTGTAAGCCTTCACTAGTTGTCTCCTGCCAACGGAATTCGACACAGAAACTATCATTAAAGCTCACTATGAAGTCTTCTTGCCATTTCTTGTTCAATCACTCTGGAACCTTGGAACTAAAAATTCTTCTGAACTCACTCCTCCAGCTTATGACTGACACGTAACTGCCCTTGAACTAACTCTGTCACTGCATTCCCTTCTCTTATAAGCACTCTGCACAGACCCCAAGGAAAACGTTGTCTCTATTTGTTGATGATGTCACTGCTTACGCAGAAGTGTGTTTACTGAGCCGTTACTTAGAAGTGGGTTGCATGACGCTGTTGTTCCACTGCTGCTCAGCTCAGATGACATAGAAAACACAGCCTTATCTATTGTTGCATAACCTAGCAACAGACTGTTTACCAATAATCTGTCTTTGCAGGAACGTGTTTACCAACATGTTGCCTAACAATGGGTGTACATGTAACAATACATAAGCGGTAGAAACTTACAGTATGTGGAAAACAAATCTGTGGGGGTGACACAAAGAAAGCACTTAATAGACCTCTACAAGATGTCTAGATATGGTAAAGAAGTAAACAGATGTGACAGACAACTTCTTTATTAAAACCGTCACAACACAACTATATCAAGGTCAGTGCCTAGTTTTGGCTCTGCTACATGTTTCGGCTATTAATAGCCATCATCAGGCAAATACATGGCTAACATATATACACCACTGAACTGCAGTACTAGTAAAATTGGATACAATAATACTAATTATTAAAACACTTGACATAAATATACAATAAATTAGATTATATGTTATGCCGCAATTTTGAGGCTGAAAATCAAAGACATTGCCTAAATGTTACGAGACTTGCAAAAGTGTTTTATAGCAATTAGAGCAATGATGGCAACACCTGGACAAGGGATCTAGGTCAAGAATGTTTAAGTCAGCAGAAATGCATAATCGCTCCACTGCAAGCCCGCCTAACTAAGCCACAGGAGTAAAATGAAATTATCAAATACACAGCGACGAGAAGCTGCAGATTCGTCTGCGACAAATGGGGGTTAACCAATGAGAACCTACCACCAAGAAATTTAGAACAAAGGGAGGAGTTAACCTCCCTCTTTTGCCAACTGCAGTGCCAGCAATGTTAGTGTATAAAAATGGGAAAAGAAAGGCTTTTAGGGGATCAATCAAAAACGTAATCTCTGTTCGACGTGGGCACTACAAGCAGTGGTGTCGCTGCGTCTCTATCTCAAGTAAGTCATGTTTGCTCATACTAGCCATGCTATTCAAATTTATTATTGTTGTTGTGAAATGTGAAAGCGATTTCCAGTGTGCCCAGTGAATTTTTAGGATAGGATAGAAGGAATAGTGATTGTCAATGATTGTCAAACAACGACTGATCAGGATCGTTGTTTACATTCCCTACAGAACGGACAATACTTTGTAAGATGAGGCACCAACTAAATAATTAACATTAATATTACTACATCTACATCACGAGCCTCCAATAACAGTTTTTTATATACACACAAAATATAGAATGCTCCAATTTGTCCGTGGGAATGCAACAAAATTACAAAAACCAACGACTGACTCGATGTTGTAAAGCATCAATCGAATTTTATTCTTGTTTTATACTATAACTTTTGTTTTATGTAATCTAATTTATTGTATTTTTACGTCAAGTATTTTATATAATTAGTATTATTGTATCCAATTTACTAGTACTGCAGTTCAGTGGTGTATATATGTTAGCCATGTATTTGCCTGATGATGGCTATTAATAGCCGAAACATGTAGCAGAGCCAAAACTAGGCACTGACCTCTATATAGTTGTGTTGTGATGGTTTTAATAAAGAAGTTGTATATTATAACACAACAGGTTTGCATGAAATGAAAAAGATGTGGCAGACTCCCAGAAGGGTTCCCTCACATTATTTTGACTTATGCATTACTACATGACGACCATAACGGAACCTGATGAACCTAAAAACTTTCTGTGTTTAAGCTAATATAAAATATTAAATTCAAAGCCTAATTCAGATACTTCATTTTTAAAATTAAAATCATATTAATTTTAAGGAAACTGTGTATTTGTTAGATTATATTTGAACAAATGGGTGTATTCGCAGAAACAAGTGGTAAAATGTTGTAATTATATGGGTCCATATTAAGAAAAGAATTCCATGACTGAGATCATATTTCTGTAGTTTTGCCTGATGATGACCCTGTAAGGGTCGAAACAAAATAAACAAATGCTGGTACATTAGAATCGATTTGTTCATTGATATAATTGCTGTGTAGATGGTCCCATAAAACATTATTATATGACACACAACAGGATGTATCCCATAAAAGAAACTGTTTTAAAAGCCTCTGACTCATACCCCCATCCCTGACTCCTATGTTTATCCTTTTCTTTAAACTATAAATGACATGAAATAGAGTGAATCTGTTGTTTAATATTCCATAAAATACATGCAAAATACAAATGGGTAATGTGGGGTGGTATTACAGTGTAATGTTGTTATGTAACCATCTTTTATCTGTTGCTATGTTAGTGATTGTAAGATGCCTTTCATTTCTCAAATGCTGAATTAGGGAGAAAGGTTTTGTTGTATGTTATAGTAAAGGCATTCATTCACCGAGTGCCCTGGTAGGGATATGAAGGGTTTAATGGCTATGAAATGTATTGTAAATTCATGTAAAGCAAATGCTCCCTTGTTGAGTATCTACAAACAACATGGGAGGGGTTGATGGAAGACTTGCAACAGTATGTTTATTAACCAAAATACGATATTCTCTTTTACTGAACAGGTTTTACAGTCGTCTCAGTATTACAAATACTACAGTGGAAAGAACAGAAACATCAAGCAGCGAAGAGGAAGATAATGTCAATGATGAAGATGAGAGAGAGTCACATGACAGTGAGAAAGCTGACAGTAGTGAAACCCGTGAATCAAGCCCTGCTCCATTTTTCAAACTTAAGAAAGGAGGTGGTCTGTTTCGTGGGACCAAGCAGGAGAAAGTATGCCAGATTTGTGAGAAACCTGGTGACACTGTCAAATGTCGAGGACCTTGTTGTGGTACTTTTCACCTGGAGTGTATGTCCAAGTCTTTGGAAGCCAAGGAGAATGTGAATAATATGACACCAGGCAGTGTTAGAGCAAAGAAAAGCAAAATTGTTTTAACTGTTTCTCTGAATAGAAGTGATGTTAGCGATGCATTGTATAAAGCTAAGGAGAATGAAGATGCACAAAGTTATGACTTGGGTGAGGTGTCTGAAGCTGAGGATGAATATCCAAAGCCTCTGAATGGTATGGGTAACATGACAGAACATGATGATATGTTGAATGAAATGGAATGTGTGTCTGTACCAAGGAAGAGGAAACGGTCTGGTGTAGAAGAAGAGGTGTGTGTTACAAACAAAAAGTATGCCAAAGAAAAGACTGGTATGGATGAGAACAGAATAAAGGACAAAGAAAATTACAACAAGAAAATATCTGAAGAAAAAGAGGAAGATGATGCTGTTCACATAAAAGAAAAAACTGGTAAAGGTTGCAGAGAGAATGTGGACTCTATTGTGAAGCAAAAAGTTGTTGAACTGCAATCAGCAGAGGAGGCTGAAATGGATGTTGATGAAGTGAATGACACAGAAGAAGTAGAAGATGAGAATACTGAGATTAAAACCAAAGAAAACAAGAATGAAATTGTAGATACTGGTGAAATGGAAATAAAAGAAGGTGGAGAGGAAAGCATAATGATTAAAAAAGAAAACCATACAGAGGAAAGTTCATTTGTATCTGGGGAGGAAAAAGATGTGATAGGAGACAGAATTATTTCAGATGGAAATAAAGATGATAGAGGAATGGAAGGATACAATGATAAGGAAAACAAGGAGTTAAGTAAATATGATGAGAAGGATGTGAATGCTCAGAAGGGAAACAGAGATGATTCTAAAAGAAAAGATGAGCAGGGAGGAGAGGAATCTGATTTGGATGGAAGTAAAATTGAAATGAAAGAAATTTGTGTTTCTGTAGAGAAAGACAGGTATAAGAGAGCTACAAGAGGTATGGGCAAGAGGAGAGAGAAGGAGGATGCTAAAGGAAGTAGAACTGACATGAAAGAAGGTAAGAAAGATACAAAAATTAGTCTTGAGGAGAAAGAAAAAGAGAAAATTATTGCCAAGAAAAAGGATAAAGAAGAAAAGGGGAAGGATGATGCTGCAGAGGAGAAAATGGCCACAGACAGTGCAGCAGAATTCCGTTGCAAGGACTGCAGGGAGGGCCGGAATCCACCGTGTTTTGCATGTGGCAGAATACAGGAGGAGAAGACTGGCAGGGAACATCGTCAGCGCTGTGCAGTGGGTAAGCATTTGAAGTGTTCAGAGCATTCTTAGTCATAGATAACATAATGGAGTGCTGCTGGTAGTGAATACAAACATGTTGCTTCATATTTGGAAGGCCCCGGGTTCAAATCTTGGCCTAGAGACCACCTGTTCTAACTGAAGATTTCATGGTGTCACTCTCTCCAAGCATATACAGGGAGAGTACGTCAAGTTAGATCATGGCTGTATCCTTTCCAGTTCACTATTTGCTGCTTAGTGCTATAAAATATGAACCATTGACAGCATCATTAAATAAATGGTGAATAAATAAATATTAAGAAAATTAATTTGGATTCATTGAGCTTTGAGGTTCTCATGGAAATGAGTTTAAAGATTGCAGTCCACTGAGCTCTGATGCTGTGAAGTCTGGTGGGTAGATACCAGTGATGTGAGGACACTGGTGGCATAATACATCAATGTCTGTTGATGACACGCTCACAGGTGTTTTAGATGCAATAAATTGGGTCACAGTGGATTGGTTTTGGATCCTTTCCAATTCATTGTTCACTACCATCCAGTCATTCTGTAGTGTATAGTCTGAGTTAACTGACAGTAGCATTAAATGAACTACATAGAATCCAGTTCCTTTGTTTGAGTAATTTTAGTGTCCAATTTTAGGTCACTGTGGCAAGTTTTATCACATGGAATGTCTCAAACTTTGGCCTCAAGCATGGTCAAGCGGTAGTGCATCATCTCGGAGGCAGTCTGCTGCAGCAGCTCGTGGAGAGGACATCACTGAAAGTCAGGTAGCCGTTACGTGCCCTCAACATGTGTGTCATACCTGTGCATCTGATGATCCTAGAAATGCTACAACACGTTTTGCCCATGAGCGACTGGTACGCTGCATTCGTTGCCCTACAGCTTATCACACTGGTAAGTCAGTTGCTTGTAGTCTTTGTGATCGTTAAGCCACAAGAAGTGGATTTCAAAATTTGTTAACATAGACGATAAACATTTAAATGGTTTGGTCACGTAGAAAGAATGAATAGAACAAGTATAACAAGAGGGATAACATGAAGGATGTTAGAATTGAAATTTAAAGGAAAGAGATTGAGCAGTTTGGCTCAAGTGGGAATACTTCTGACTTGCAATCAGGAGGGCCAGAGTTCGAATTTTTGTCAGAATGCTGTCTTTTCTGGCAAAGGTTCTTCGTTGTTTTCCCCAGTCCCTCCAGACAGTACTACTGTAAATTGGGTCACATCTGCTTCCTTCAGTAATATAGTAACTCTTTTGCCATGAAGATGGAGGCAGCATGTTCCTCTAAAATGTTAATACACTCAACTCTCGATTATCCGGGATAATGGTGGGGATGGAAATCACGATTAATCGAAAACCCGGTTAAGACAAATTTTATTAAAGGTAGTACTGTAATACTGTACCTTCGTAATACTATAGGCCTACCTGTATTTAAATTTATTCGACCTCATTTTTATGTCATCTCATGGCCTATTTAATACTTTTTTTACATTATACTGAAGTATGAATTAGTTATTTCAATCACAGTGTTCAACAACATCCAACAC